GTCCATGAGACTTTAATAATTTTAGCGGGAAACTAAAATATTTCTAGCGGGAAACTAAAATAGAAGACTTTCGAGAAGACTTACAAGTAAGTCGTCCAGAAGACTTACAAGTAAGTCGTCCAGAAGACTTACAAGTAAGTCGTCCAGAAGACTTACAACTAAGTCGTCCAGAAGACTTATAACTAAGGCGTCCAGAAGACTTACAAGTAAGTTGTCTGGTTTAAATTATTCAAGCGGGAAAATAATTTTTTTTTAAAAATTTTAGGCGGAATATTAGTACGACTTACTTGTAAGTCGTATGTGTAAAATTATTTACCAGACGACTGATATTTCAGTTGTCCAGACCCTAAACCCTAAACCCTAAACCCTAAACCCTAAACTAAATTGACTAAATTAACTAACTAACCACGTATAAAATCAAATTATACTTAAATAGTGTTTACTATGCACAGAAATAAACACACTTAGGTAAATTTTTAATTTTTCAAAAAAACATTTATGCTTTCGAAAATCTAACCCTAAGAAACACATACAATACTACAACATATATTGGTGAAACCTAAACTAAAGAATATCATGACTCACTACTTTCACTCATCTATGCTGAAAACAACTGACTTTTGTTATATTTTAATTTATATCTCTTAAGACATATGTTNAAAACATTTATGCTTTCGAAAATCTAACCCTAAGAAACACATACAATACTACAACATATATTGGTGAAACCTAAACTAAAGAATATCATGACTCACTACTTTCACTCATCTATGCTGAAAACAACTGACTTTTGTTATATTTTAATTTATATCTCTTAAGACATATGTTAATTACATAATCCCAATTTTTCATTTATCAGGATATTTGTTACACAATTTTTAAAGTATTTTTAAGAAAAACTGTCCCAGACGACTTTAAGTTAAGTCGTCTGGACGACTTTAAGTTAAGTCGTCTGGACGACTTAGTTGAAAGTCGTCTGGGCAGACGACTTACGAGGGCTAGAAACGTAAAAAAAGATACATTTTTTTTGTTTGTTCACAAGGGGTTGGTTGTAATTTCAATAGCCCTTTAAGTTAATTTTGCATTTGATTCAAGTTTGGGTTTATTTATGTACTAGGTGACCGGCTCGCATCCTGTGCGGGTATATATAGATTCAAATTATGGACTTAATAATACAAAGTTTTAGAAGTAATATATTTTATATCATAAGACCACCGTCTTTTAGGTTTATATCATAAGACCACCGTCTTTTAGGTAAAGCTTCAGGCACAAAAAAATGCCGGTACACAATATTTTACATGGAGGAGATGGAACAAAATAACTTCAGTATCAATAGGTAGTTATTGTGTGTATTTATAATTTCAACATCACAAAAAAAAATTGTGTGTTGAAGGTTGAATTTTATTTTCCAAATCTGAAATTAATAGTGTGTAGTTTTATAAGTAACATATTTTCTATTATCACTAATTAGAATTGTATTGTATATGTGTTGTAATTCTTTATTTTAGGTGAAAATATTATTATGCATAAATTTTTCGTAAAATGTATGTAGACAGATTAAAAGAAATGTTACACATATCCCCTCTCTCTCTCTCTCTCTCTCTCTCTCTCTCTCTCTCTCTCTCTCTCTCTCTCTCTCTCTCTCTCTCTCTCTCTCTCTCTCTCTCTCTCTCTCTCTCTCTCTCTCTC